TGTGTGTGTGTGTGTGTGTGTGTGTATGCGTGTGTGTGTATGCGTGTGTGTGTCTGTGTGTGTGTGTGTGCATGTGTGTACTTATGCGTATATCCTTCCCAAACACCAGTTCTTTACAACAACAATTCTCTCTCCCCTCCCAGCGTCAGAGTACAAAGTAGAGCGCTGTTTTCCCCTACACGTAGACAGCCTTGACCTTTGCGTGAAGACAGCTCCGGGCCTTAACACTAACAGCTCCACCGAAATCGGCGGACACCCGCGTCATCATCTCCATGGCAACGACGCGAAAGACGACTCTATCATCGACGAGAACATCACCATTGGTCTGGCCATTTCCGCGGAGCTGGAGACTCACACCGATAGGTCCGTTGTCTCCGCGAAGTACAAAGACGCCGCTAGCGCGCCGGCTCCCATAGACCCTCTTTCTGATAATGTACGCTGTGACGTCACCGCTGGTTTAAGCACCTGTAGCGGTGGGGGCGGTGGGGGTGGTGGCCCGGACGTTCTAGACTCGCCACTGTCCCTGACTACGTCACCGCCTTACGCTACCAGTAAGTCTATGTCGGACGCGGAGTTGGATCAAGAGTTCCAGAAGCATCTGATCGAGTTCAAAGCTCTGGAGAAACTTGCGGAGAGAAAAGCACAGGAGCAAATGCAGGTAGCGATAATGAGGAAGAGGAAGGCGGAGATGTTGAGGATTATGGAGATGAAGAAGGCGAAGAGGAACTACGATAAAGTAAGCGGTCAGCTCGGTGTACCTCTTCCGACTCGAGAGTCTGTGAACGTTGTTTCTGGTGATGTGTCAATGGAGCAGGATAAGTCTCTCGCCCCACAGGTGTCTGTCTCTATGTCTGCTGGGGGTGACTCCATCAACACAACCACCACCACCACCACTGCAACAGCAGCAGCAGCAGCAGCAGCAGCAGCATCAGCAGCATTAGTGACAGCTACAACATCTGTGATGTTGCAGTCGGCAGCTGTTTCTGTTTCGTCTGCTAGCTCTGTGGTCACACCTGTTGTTGGGATGTCCAGCGGAGAGGAGTCGAAGATGGATTGTAGTTCTACACCACCCACCGTTGCTGCATCTGTTTCTGGTGGAGGAGATGTTGCTATGTCAACAGTATCAGCATCTGCGGGTGTGGTTATGGATTCTTCGTCGACAACAACATCCTCTTCTTCATCTTCGTCGCCATCGTCAAGTAAAAACTGCGATGTGATAAAGAGTCAAGGTGTAACTACAAATATGTCAGCCACCACGACTGCAACAACGACAACAACAATGTCGACAACAGCAGCAGAGACACCCTCGTCACTAACATCATCATCATCGTCGTCTGTACTATCGTCGACTACCCCGCCTGTCTTGGTGAAGACAGAAGTGGTTGACCAAAGCGAGAAATCTATTTCGTTTGAAGCCACGACACTGGCAGCCGTAGAGTGCAAAACTGAAGCACCCGAGACGGTATCGGGCACAGAAGACGGTACATCACCGAAACCTTTAAATCTCAACGCAACAAATGTACTGTCATGGGATAATAACCTGACTGTGAAGACAGAAGAAGACTCAGATGACATTAAACCCGATCTGGAAGGAAAAGAAAAGAGCGGGGAAGATGTAGACCCAAATAAAGAAATGCTGGCGTCAGACAGTTTAAATACGGAACCGTTGGCAGCAAATAAAATGAAAAAAGAGACGGAAACATCGGAAACTAGATCAAGCTCCTCTTTCGGGTCTGCTGCTAGTTCATCAAAGTGTAGATATAGCAAAGAACCAGCACCGGCCCATCAAAGAGAACCCGAAGTTCTACCGTTAGAGCTAACGGTTACCCCAAACGGAGACTCTGCGTTTATCCAAGGACCATACCACCGGCGGGAGAAGGCCATCCTCGAACCGCCTTTTCTGCCTAAAGAGGCTCCTAAGGTGGACACCCCGCAAAGGGCACACAATCAGCAGCCCTTTCAGACGCCAGGGAGCCTTATAGTGGCTGTGTCCAGCCCGTTCGCGCCTCACTCGGCCGCGCCACTCGTCTCACACGGTTCCCCACGCACTCACACTCAAGCTGACAACGGGAAATCCCCTGGGTTGAAACCCGGCCGGCCTGTCCCCAGTGTACCCCGTGGGTCCGTCAGAAGAATAGACAAACCTCTGACTTTAAGTATGGCGTCTGAAGACAATGGAAGGTTAGGGCCAGGATGTGAAGGAGTGTCTAACTCTGGGCTTGTGATGAGGGGTAGAGGCAAGTCAATAGATGGAAGTGATATTGTGGAACAGCAACAACGAGCGATGGAAAAGACAATGCTAAGTTCTGGACCCAGGTCGGCGGACTATCGTTCTGTCGCTCTAGAACATGCCGCGACACATCAGAGGATGCTTTTGCAGCAGCAGCAACAGCAGCAACAGCAGCATCAGAGGCCAGGGATGCCCGTAGATTCCCGAATGTTCCCGAGGGGGGATATCGGGGTAGGCGGTCAACAGCAACAACACCACTTACAGACACAGCGGTCTGGAGCAGCAGCCGTAGCGCAGTCAGCAGCGCCACCACACTGCGGAATAACGTCATCGGGTCCACAGTCCCTGGTCCCTGACAGATCTCCACGCGCGATGTCAGAGGAGAGTGGCGAGAAGAAGAGTGCCTTCAGGTTACACGTGCGTCCTCAGACCAACTCGGTCATCGACCTCACACAAAGCGGCAGGATCCTCATGCCCAATACAAAGCCGCTGGGTCTCGAACCGGGACAAACAGCAAGTTCTCCCTACGGAATGTGCTACCCCCACCCCGGCCAGGCGTACTCGGAGGCCCCACCGCCGTTGCCCCCTCCCCCTCAGTGCGGCGGAGATATGGAGATGAAACACGGGGAGGCGCGGGTGGTGTCCGGCGCTGCACATCACAGAAGAGGCCATGCAGTCCCGCCTCCGCCCGGCGCCCACGTCCCGCCTCCCCCCGCCTACACGGAAGTACCTCCGGGACTCTACCCAGACTACCAGGGTTTACAAGAGAGACCCGGGCTTCTGCCTATTGCCATGGACAGCGAGAGAACGGCTAGGCCAAGCGCTTTTATGAGTGGAATTCACCACCACCGCCCGCCTCCTAAAGATGCTACAGGAGGCGTCAGTAACTGCCAGAGGGCAACAGGGATGAAAGACGTACCTTATATGAAAGATCTCTGCAGACCTAGCGTGTCATCTGTCACCCAGCACAGACAAAGGTATCTGACCACAAACCCTTCTATGGGATCGGGATCCGAACCCATGCCCCCCAGCTCCCAAGTCGGAGGTATGGGCAGCAACCCCGGATATTCAAAACCTCCTGGCTCCCTCTCTCCTCGCTATGGTTCTACTCGCATGAACCCTTCTGGGGCTTGGATGGACTTGGGCATTCCGCCTAGCTTAGGTGGGCCTGGAGGGGCGGAATTCAAGACAAACACTCAGGGTCAGTGGCGGGGACAGTCGCCTGTGCCTCACTCTCGAACACTGTCATCCCAGAGCGCCATCCGAAGAGAGATGTACCTCGAAGCTGCCGCGGAAAAAGAAGCCAGACTTTCTACGGTAGAAGAACTCGACAGACACCGAGCATCCCGGGTAGAAATGATGACCAACGCCTTCCAGAACCACCCGGAAGCTATGAGTCACTCCCATAAACACCTCATGACCTTGAGTGACCACCCGTTGGGTGAAGGTCATCCCCTACATGGCCCTCCAGGCTCGATCGGCCCCCTCCACAGCATGAGCCACCCGGCAATAAGAGGAAAACTCCCCCCACCCCCTCTACACCACCAGCAGGGGACACTGCGTCCTGACAGCTACCAACACGTCCCCACCTCCCCGGGGTCGCAAGGGTTTATGAGATATCCAGGACCCCCAGGGAAACAACAGCAACAGCAGCAACAACAGCAGCAGCAGCAACAGCAGGCGTCTCTGAGGTCCTCTCATCAAGGGTTACACCTGTCCCCGTCAGCTCCACGTAGAAGCTTTGAGGAGATGGACACGGTCAGTGTGCCTTCTTTGTCTGGGCAGGTTAGAGAATGCTTATTTACGTATTCATTCTTTCATTCATTCATTCATTCATTCATTCATTCATTCATTCATTCAGTCAGTCATTCATTCAGTCATTCATTCATTGTCATGATAAACAAATAAATCAATTAATTAATTAATTAATTAATTGGTTGATTTTCATAATTTGTTCATTTATTCCTTGCTTAATTTATTCATTGTTTAATTTAAAAGTTTTAATTAATTAATTAATTGATTAATTTTCTTTCATGTAATTATGTTATATAGTGGTTTGTTTGATCATTCCGAATAGATAGATAGATAGATAGATAGAATAGATAGATAGATAGACAGATAGATATGCATTTGTGAACGTGCAAACCAGGAAGAGGAAGTAGAGTGTAACAAGCTGCATACATAACAACAAATTATAAACAGACAGATAGAGAGACAGACAGATGGTGACAGAGATGAGCACAGATGTTTTGTTGATGAGTTAAAAGATGAGACAGATGGGCCAGCTGACAAATGCGCGACGAATGAGGGCGCACTGACAGCAGCCACAAGTTAATGTGACAGGGTTGGTTTAACTTGTTAAAATTAACAGTACGCTGTGTTTTAAAATTAATGTATTCCTCTGACGGGCATTACATAAAGAATTAATGTTTTTCCCCTTTATTCGGGGTTGGGAAGTAGGGGGGGGGGCGGGGTGGTGTTACAATATTTTTCTTCTTTTGTTGCTATTAAAATTTTTATTCATGTTGTTTTATTTTTGCATTTTTATCTTCGTAGTTCAAAGGAAAATACTGTTGAATCTTCTCTACCCCCCTATCAGTCCAAGAGAATCACCTGTACAACATAGCGTTCTCACTCTCCCCCCCCCACCCCCACCCCTTTCGTAATTATTGAAATGAGACTTTCCAAGAGAATCACCTGTACAACATAGCGTTCTCACTCTCCCCCCTCCCCCACCCCCACCCCTTTCGTAATTATTGAAATGAGACTTTCCAAGAGAATCACCTGTACAACATAGCGTTCTCACTCTCCCCCCTCCCCCACCCCCACCCCTTTCGTAATTATTGAAATGAGACTTTCCAAG